GTCATTCAAATCAGAAATCCTGCACATTGTCAAACACAACTCAAATGCTTCAGAGGATCCTGTTAGGGCCACAATGAATGGTTCAGAAGTCTTGAAAACAGGATGCTGGGTGAGAAAAGGCAGGGCAATGTGGGCGCTGGAAGAGTATAGCACGACAATGTATAGTAAGCTGGAAATATATGGAAACTATAGACTGTCTTGTGAATGCACAAGACAGATATTATACTAATAAAAGTTGGAGCGGGATCAATCGGCAAATCAGTCAAACTAGCCCTAAGCATGATCATCCTTGGTTGTAATGGTTCAGGAGACTGAGGGGATATTTGTTGAGCAACGAGCAATCACAGCCTAATACTTCTATATATTATTTACATGCACACGCACACAAACACACTAGGAGAGCTGCGATAATTTTAAAAATAAGGGACAGGAAATGGCATGCTCAAGAGTGTAATGGTTGTCACAGTGTTATTAATCAAATACTGCTTTGTAATAAAAGTGCTGTAATATATTGACCACTAGGAACAGCTTCCATCAGGGAATAATCTAATTAAACTATGCAATCAGTCCTTGTGGTTTATCAGAATTCCATTGTCTGTAACAGCCTTCATCACAAAGGCCAATTAGGTAGTGTTGCTGCAAAATTAGCAGAAAACTTACAGACAATGTTTCCACAGCCAACTGGTAAATCTGGTAAACTCATTCACACAACCACAGATTTTCAAATCCAAGTTTTGTTTCCAATTTTTTTTCCCCTTCCTTCCGCCTACCACAACCTCCTGTGGGAAACCCTTTATGACTTAAAATCCCCTCTAATCTTCGTGGAAACTCAAAATCAACGACTCATTTCCCAATGTGCTGTTTGTTTAAGCTCAGGCTCACGGCCAGTGGTTTCTAAAGGTAGCAGGAACACACACTACTGGGGCCACCTGACATCTTCACTCCTGCATCTTTGTTAATCATCAGCTTCTTATCAAACATCCTTTCAAACATTCATACAGTGCTTTTAACCACGCATGGTCAAAATAGGGCCTGATAGCTAAATCTGACCCAAGGTCTGGACAGAAACTGTGTGCAAAAATCAAAAGCAAAATAATCCCTAAAATGAAATTAAAAAAGGCAGCACTATGTTAATGAAGCTGAAGGACTGACTGAACCTGATTCCAACCGAAGGTGCCCCTTTTAAGACTGTTGTGGCCATCGCAAATTATTCATTATTAATATAAGAATGTATAAGCCAGTGGGTTTGTACATAAATAGAAACTGTTTAATCTTTTCTTCATTCAATGAGGCAGTTTCTTGGTTTAACAGCAGCTCAAGCACTCCAGGCTGGCAAATTTGAAATAATATCAAAATCATTGATTTTAAAACATCTTTACACCATGTCCATCATTTTGCAATAAAATTTTCAAATACATTGTCTATAATATGGCTATCTTAAAAAACTGCAGCCCTCTTCCACTTTTTACCTACATACATGCACACAAATACACACAGGAAACTAGACAATACCCCGTTTAGATAATATTTTTGACTATAGCCCGCAAGTTATATTTGTAGCCCTAATGTATCCAGGTTAGCTGGCTTTAGCCCTCGTCAGCACTGGCAAGGGAATGTGAAAGCTCTGCTAATGTGTTTTACTGTCACAGAGGAAATTAATTTATTACAGGCAGGGAAAATAATCAGCTGTCATAGACAAGCTGGGCCAGCACTGTGGGAAATAAAAAGGAGAAATTCAGCATTATTTTTAAATCTAAAATTAAACTGCAGACTTGATTGGGTTATTTAAGTAATTGAAGAAATTAGGTGATTTTAAGTAACTGTTTTAGTAAGTTAGTTCATACTTATTGCTTTTTCTTGTTGAGATTATTCAGAATTTTACCTTCTGCTTAGCAAGAATAAACAGAACCCTGATGGATGTTAAAAACCAAGGTTCATGTTGAGCAATGACTGTTTTTATACTGTTACAGTTTGCAACAGTTTACTGGCTACATAATCAAATGAACAACACATACAGAATCACTGTGATTAAGGCAGTAAACTGTCAATGTCCATCAGCTTTACTTTTAAGCCACAGTTTAAGTAGTCTGCCTCCTTTTTTTGATTTGTTTTGAGGTACAATATTTGTTGGGGTTGAGAGTGGAGGGTGAATAATAACAATTTTTAAAAAAAGTTATTTTTGACTGCAGGCACGATTACTCAATCATGACTGGACCCAAGGACAAAAACAGGGTGCGACCCGTCTAATTGTAATTTGAGACCTTGGGCGCTTCCATCTCAGACACTATCTGTTTCAGAGCAGTTACACACCTAATAGATTTGGCATGATGCACTGCGCAGCACCTCTGACATCACATCAGCCCCTTCTATCAACAGTGGATCAGTGGCACAATCAGAAGGAGAGAGAGATCCCAGCCTTTACTGGGCCAACTTTACAAGACAAAGCCAGTACCTCATAACTTGCCCGTTTCTGAGCTGCATCCAGTGACAGAAAAAGTGATAAGATAAGTGCTCTCAGGAGGTCATTTCTCTGAATTTGCTTTTACTGCCAATCGCAAGTGTTCTCATGTAAAAAACACACACGTGGTACATTAAGTGTATGACTGTAGTATTTTAATCAGATGTTTATGGAATACAATTACCTTAAAAAACAAAGAAAATCCATTCATTTTGAATTTGGAAATAAAATCAAAAATAGTAAACCTCATTCTAATAAACTGCCACACAATTCTTATATACTAATAATACCCAAAAATGTGGTCCAGCTTTCCGGTGCAATCACAACCACTACAAACAATTCACCAAACCACAAAGCCAATACAGCGGAAAAGCTTGTGTTGTGAACATGTCTTGCACAACTCGATTAAGAAAGAAACAGGAGACTGTGTTGGTGAGAGTCAAAATGATTCTGGGTATTCTACTCTAATCCAAAGTTAGGCACTGGTGAGAGGTTTAGCGAATGTAGCAGATAAATATTTGAATTCAAGTTACGCATGATGAAGCAAGTAAAACCAAAGAAAGCCAACCCCCTCTATAACACGCAGTAATTGCTCCAATGCCTCAGTGAAAATCTTTCAAGCCGATAAACTGGAGTGAGTGTAAACCTGTGAAGAAGTCTGCATTTCCAGGGCAAAACTACAACTTCCAAAGGTAGGAGCCTAGATATAAGTGATGTTCATTCCACTTAAGGTTATTCATTACCAAAACAGGCAACAGTGTAAAACGCTGCCCTTCCCCTTCCTCTGTAATCTGACAGCGAGATATAGAATGGCTTCTAAAATAAGAGCTGAATCCACACTCCAAGCCTAGTCACTTCCATATCTCACAGTATGAGGGCCAGAAATGACAAAGCTCAGCAGTTTTCTAATGAGACTATAACAAATGGAAGGCCTATATTTAGGTTATTACAACATCAGCAGTGCGCACACAGGTTTGAACATGGGTTTCTGTGCATGCCTGATAAAGTCATGACCGTACCCACAATTAGTCAGATGCTTTCTAAAGTACAGTGCTTAGGCAGAATTTACTGTGCTGCAGACAAGACAAGAAAAAAGGTTTGCAAATGCTTTGTTTTAAGTTTTAGTTCACTTCAATCACAGGCAAAATATTTAGACACGATGGCCATTTTCTCAGAGCATACAGTTGTGCAGCAAACAAGAAAGAAGATTTTCTACTTCCCATGTAGCATTACATAGAACTATGCAATTTACTATAAATAGTAGATAACAGAAAGGTGTATGGATTTCTGTCAAAAGCACAGGCATTGATTTTAATGTATCTGGGCCAATAGTGCCAAGGGTTCTTGCCAGCCTAAAACTTAAATCTAAAACAAGAAAAATGCTTTGTTTAATCAAAGAAACAAAGTTGCTTTGGAAGTATTTGTGCATCACCTGAGCATCAGTTCGAATTGTCACAACTGTCACCAACAACACCTGGAATCAAGTTGGTCTCCATACAATTGTTGATTTAGGTTTTTGATACAACAGAAAAAGAAAGGGAGGCTAAGGAGCTTGGAATAAAAAAAAAACTGGAGTTCTTTAAGTTTCTTAAAGACATTTTACCTCTTGTTCGAGAAGCATCTTCAATTCTGAAAGAACTATTCAAAGAAAGTGTCCTGATATGTATATACTGACTTTATCCAAACTTAATGATTTCCTATCTTCTTCCAAAAACATAAAAACTACAAAAAAAAATGCCCATAGTTAATCACACTACATAGAGGCTGAATGTTAAGCTGAAAGATTACGTGGAACAGGAAACGAAAAACCTACAGTCGAGTTCACTTGAAAGAAATCTAAAAACAACAACAAATAAGCCTGGACAACTGCTGCAGAGTGCAATTTTGAATGTTCTTAATCGCTCAGTTTCACTCCATCACAAAGAAGTTCTTTGTATACCATGACTTCTCTGCAGAATGGGCAAAGCTGAAGGACCAACAACAGCATAAACGTGAACAAAAGCGCCCGCACTACCAGTTGTCCCACATCATTGACGGCATTTTTGTTACTGTTACACTGTATTACTCAGTGTTGATTATTGTGTTTACTGTGTATATACATAATACATGTTCTGCTTGGTTGATCCTGTGAAATGAGGCTATGCTGACAACAGCTGTCCAAGTCAATTATTGATATGTAGTAGTCCATTGTGAGAATGTTTATAAGGGCATTCACTATAAGTGAATCAGCTCTCTGTAAAAAATAATGAACAGGCATTACTACTGTGTTGCTAGGGTTTCTATTTCATATTGAATCTCCTGCCAATTCAATTTGATCTCAGTTATTTCAGTGCTTTCTAGGATAACAGGTGTGCAAACGCACAACAGATGTATTTTAGGTAATGTGTCTTGGGGAACTGGCATTATTTCAAAGCCACATCTACCAAATACACCTCAAGTGCAAAACAGGAAGGCTATGAAAACGCAATAAAACAAAATACATTGCTTAAGTGTTTCTATTTTCTAGAAGTCATAGACATCACTTAACTTGTGGTTTACTTACTGGTTAGTGGGAGGTGCAGAGAGTGGGAACGTCACCTCTTCTTCGTCGATTTCCATCCCATCTTGCATGTCGCTTTCATCCATAGTGCCACCGAGCCCCCCACAGCTAGGAGGCGGAGGAGGTGGTGGTGGAAGTGGTGGGAAGACAGTGGGCCCATCCGGGCCTGTTGATGTGGGTGAGATCCGACTAGCTGGACCCTCCATAGTTGGAGAGCAGCACATGCCGCCCACTGTCCCTGAGCTTGTTCCTTGAAAAACTGTATGTCCACCTCCTGCTACGCCACTCCCTGCTCCGGTCATATCCCCACTAAGCATGGAGGAATAGATTATATTCATCTCTGAAAGGGAGTCCGGAGATGTGTTTGAATGCTGTCGGGTGGCTGGTGCCGGCCCTTGCACCAAATCAGTGGTTCGGACTCTGCTCGGCTTGGGATAGTATGGGAAAGGGGCCGTCGTCTCCGGGCCTCCTCCGCCTGCCACCCCTGTCCCTGTCGCGACCGAGCCCGTATCCTCACTGCTGACCTCCGCTGCCATCATAGTAGAAAAATACGTAGAGGGGAAAAAGTCCAGAAGGGAACCTGCCCTTCCCCTCTGTTTTTACAATAATCCCTCGGTGTTTGGGCTCCTGGGAAACAACACCAAAAGTTTCTCAAAAACGCGTTCAGCTAGCCGGCTAATGTTAGCCAACAGCTAACTTAGCTTACTTGGCTGCACTAGCGGGCGTTAGCTTCGCCTCGCATTCGCTCCCTGCAAAAATCACCGAGCTAACGCTAGCGGGACAGCTAGCAGCTTCGAGACACTTGATGAGTTCTTGCTCGCTAGGTCTTCATTGTTTCCTGAGTTAAGAGTTCACGCAGAAACACTACTTGAGATTAACCGTTACAATACTTCCAACAGAATATCACTTCACCTATATTTCCTGTTGGTATTTTTGAGTCTGGGGGATGTTCGGACTTCACCCTCGGCACCAAAGCAGACCACTTGTCGATGAGTGTTGTTTTATTGTCACTGTTGTGTGTAATCCCCTTCTTTTTTCCCAGTGTTGTTTTCTTCAGTTTTAAACCTTCTCCAGTAGCGTTCCCAGACGACTTCACCCTTATCTCCTATATCCCCGGAGCCGCATGTTGTTCTCCGCGTACTGCCATGTCGTTTACCAACATTTATTATCTGCGTACAAGCTTTATTTCTGGGTTTCGGGGCTAGTGGCTTGCCCGCTGCTGCGCTGTTCTTGTCTCCCCTCCCTCTCCCACTCCTCTCCAGTTAAAGATCAGACACAGCTAAGTGAACACAGAGCGGAACTTTTTTTCTCCCCCAAATTTAATCCATGGCATCTTCAATCACGTCAAATCTTATTAAGTTGAATAAAATGCGACATTGTCCTTGTTACGTAAATGAAATATAGAATCTCGTTATGGTTTGTTTTTTTTTCTTACCAGAGGATCTCAGAAATCAAGACAAGTAGCAGAGTAAAATCAGTCCTCTAGATATTTTTCTGCAAATAATCTCTTGCTGAACTACTATACTGTGGCAGGAAATGTTTACACCTTTGATCTGCTGTTTTAACACGTCAGCAACACCGAACAAGTTTCACTAGTTATCAGATAAGCGGCTCTGTACAATAAAAAGAAAAGAGTAATTAGAAAAAAAAATTTAATCGCAGGATTTATTTACAGTTCCCCATTTAATCTACAACTGCAAATTCTTGCTATTGTTCTTGCTTCCATACAAGGACACAGTGATTTAAAATCTCCCGTGATGTTATCAGTTACACCTAAGCGTTTCCCTTTCAAGCCCCAACTTCACATGATTTGTGTGTATGTGTGTGTGTTCCTGTTTTTCCTTCAGACAGGTAATGAAAGTCTAGGTAAATGACAGCATGTATAGTTCCACGTCCTCTAGTTTATATTAAAGCAAAGGCTTTTAGTAAAAAGTAAAAAAAAAAAAAAGGGGGGGGGAGGGGGGTTAAAGGCTGTGGCTGCTAATTCTAACTAATTTCACCACTGCATCCTGTTAGATAGAAACATATACTGGGTAGATATGCTACAATGCTATTCAGCTGTAAGATGTTCGAGGCGTTTACCTTAACATATTGGCAATAGCACTACAGGGCAGCAAGAAAACCGCTTAAACTAATTTGGAACCTGTCAGTTACGTTTATACAAAACAGGAAAATGCTTTAATTGCAAAGTCATTAATAGCATGATAATACTACTAAAATACCATTGTGAAGGAAAAACGCTCAGAAAAGCACGCACAGATGTTCCATCTCATTGCTGGCTCCTAGTGAAATAGGCTTGAATTTTTAATTCTAGCATGGTCCTTTTTAGTGCTGCAGACGTCATTGCTAACAGCGTTAAAATAGCAGCCAGGTTCAGATTTGTGCAACGCACGGACCCAAGTCTTTCTTTCTTTTTATTTCTAGATGCATAAATACAATTTTAGCCCAGTTGTTGCAAAGCTGAATTCGTTTCCTGTATCACCCTCTTTCCTCTAGATGAAGAGAATAATCTGCATGTTGTGCTAAACTGCAGCACTATTACAGAACAACACCACAAGGACAAATGTTTTGTTTTATTCCTTTAACTGAATGGGAAACGATTAACAGTGTCAATAAAACTCAATAAATACTATCCGTCTATGTAGTCTATATATATCTATATAGATAGATAGATAGATAGATAGATAGATAGATAGATAGATAGATAGATACACACAAAATGTGTGCACTAAAAATATCAAAGCAAGATTATGTGCCACTTTTATGTAAATATTTGTATGAAAAAAATAACTAGCTAAACTATAAAGGAAAATACTAACAGTGAAGAGTGGCTGGTGGAGCACCGCACTCTAACACAAAAAGCTCTTGGAAGAAAAACTCACTGTTGAGCCTGTGGATGAGTTTTGTGTCATGTTTTCAAAGTAAGTCATTTCACTTTCTTTTGTCTATGTTGTTAACACATACACAGACATTTTCACACTGAAAGCAGCGAGGTTTATTATGCATGCTTCAGCACTATCACTACTCATTTCTGAAAAAGCCTGTCCTCAGCAAGCAGGGCCTTTATATTGCATAATTACACAATAACTAGATCACAACATTTCATATTTTAATCTGGCAGGCGGTAAACTTGTCACTTATTTACCTGCCTTTAAACTGGCTCACTTGTACCAAGGGTCCATTTTCCACTTAGTAGGTAAACGTCAGAAGCGTAGCCGCCACAGCGGCAGGCAACTATTTCTTCGAGTCATGTAGCTATATATATATGTGTGTGTGTGTGTGTGTGTGTGTGTGTGTATGTATATATGTATATATATGTATATATATATACATTTGTTTGTATATTGATCTTTACTAGACTTATGCACAAGTTGGTGCAGACAAGCATACACTTAAGGACAATGGAAAACAATGATAATCATGAAGTTTAATCAGGTGGCCAAGTGACACCTTACTCACGACCTACAAAAACATGTTTTGGCTTTTTATGTTTTTTTTTTCTGAATGCATCATATTTTGAATACAGATAAACGACTGATACAAACTTATATTTACTCTATACATACTCTCAGCACACACCCTTTAAACATGCAGAAGGGAAGGTGAATTTTCTGAATTCATCGGACATAAAACAGTCCTGTCTCACCTACAGCAGAAGCAGTGAAGCTGATTATGAATTAAATTGACTTTTTAGCCAACAAATGCAAAAGGTTTTTTTCATAAGTTCTAGTAAATCAGCCACTGGCTAACTTTAAGATAAGAGTGCATACGTGCGCAGCTTAAGCAGCAGGCCACCGTTGTTCTCCACCCACCATCTACAGTCATGCCCACAGGGCAGCTGCCATTACTGTTCTACCTCCACATAAATCCATTTCGGAGCAGCTGGCACTGTGAAAAGAATATCTGGAGGTCTCGTCTTTCCTCTCTCTGCTTCCTGGCCTTTCTAACCTATTTTCTCAGTTTTTGAGCCAACAGCTCTCTGATCACTTTGCTTTTGTACTAGTATTTCTCAGGTTGATCAGATACGCAGTTGAAGTTGGATGACAATTAAAATAGTATTTTTTGTAATTTTATTTATAATAAAAGGGTCACATGAAAAAGATACGAAAAAACGTATCACACCTTCCGATCCAAAATCAGGACTGAGAGTTTCAGATTGGAAACCAGTGATTAGACCTGTATTAGATAGTTACTGGAACCTATCTTCTCCTAACTGTGACATCCAGGATCTCCTGTTACCTTAACTTTGCTTCCCATCTCTTTGCTTGGTGGCTTCAAGCCAGTATCAAAAGAGGTCTTCAAGGCCTTCGTGGAAAAAAATGTAGATGACTATGAGTCTGGTAAAATCTTCATAAAGATCTCCCAGTTGCTGAAAAGCAATCATTCTACCATTTCAAAAGCGGTCTACAAGTAATGTAGGTTTTACATAGTGGTCAATCATGATAGTCAGTAAGCTGTTATCAGAAGGGGCGATGCTTACTTTTTCCTCACAAAAGAACATATACTCATGTTTTGTAGATAAAACAACTGAACTTTTGTTTGTTTTTCTCTCATCTGTAAACACTGTTTTAAAAAAATATTGAATGCGTTTTATTTATTTATTTTTTTAAAAAGCAATTTCCATGGGATGTAGCCTACTTAGTATTTCACATAACTATTCACAGTATTATCTGGATTGTGTAACAAAGGAGGAAGCACACCCTGCACCCCTGTTGGTCACTCAGGGAGCTGATGCCTGTGTTCTCCTTTAAAGCGCAGAGATCCCTTAAGTCCTGTGATACAGAAGGTCAGCGAGCTGTGAAATCCAGAAGCTGACATTGACTTGACGTATGATCATCAGAGGCACTCGAGTTGAAAGACATGTATACTCAGTTGTAAGCACGCAAAACAAACATTCCCCACTAGGATAGTCAGACATTTAAACATGCTCATTAATCAAGGCACTTCAGTGTGAGTGGTCTGGTCAAGTGTCAGAACAGCCTGTTTTTTTGTTTTGTTTTTTGCTTTGCTTTTTATTAAATCAACACTGCCCCTGCTTTTAATTTCACAGAATTATGAATATTAAAATATAATTATGTATTTTAACCGTCCTCATGGCTCAGTCCTTTATTTGCTAGTCATCATTTGACCTTGTATGGTGATGTAATCTGGAGGACTGGGATCATCTCATGTGTCCCAGTGGCAGATGACGTGTCCTGCAGATCCTCCCACATGGAGCATAATAAGATTGCAGACAGGATATAGCTAATTGTCTTCCCTTAGTAGACGTGATACAAGAGGACCAGCCTCAAACCTGCTAAATGGCGGTTCAACCACTCTGAATTCAACCCTGTCTCTGTGCATGTATGTAATGGGGTGTGAAAGACTGATTTCTTTCTTTATTTTTTTCTTTTTACACATGTAGAGGCGAGATAGATAGTCCAAAATCTAATTTCCAGGACTTCACCCATGTGTGAATTTGCACGCAGTGACTTTTGTGTGTGTGTGCATTTTTGTGTGCATTCATTCCTGTGTAACCATTTGTGTCTTTGTCTTCATCTCTGTATCTCTGGGTGTGGGCTGCAGGAGAGGGAATGAGGTGGGGGCCGGCACTGACAAACTGCCAAGGGTGAGGAAGAAGTGCGTGAGGGAGAGTGGCAGGGCAGCCCAGTTGTTCTGCTCTGTTTCACCATAACTGCATTGTCAGATATGAGGATGGGCACTGATATGAGTACCATGGGAGCCTGACTTGGTGTCAGCTGAGAGCTCTCATCCATATTCATTATCATATTATAATAACACTCCATTGCCCTCAGAGACAGCACATTGGAAGATCTCCACCCTCCAGTGCCTTTGAAGACATCTATGTTTTTTGTTTGATTTTGTTTTGCTTTGGGTTTTTTATCTACTGACATGCAGCTTGAGATGTCTGAAGGCAGCAGGATGTCTTTTAATTTAGTTAAAAAGTGTAGCAATAGTAAGAAATACTCTGTATTAGTAATTGCAAATGAGCTATGCATTACAAAAATTTGTATTGTCTTTGTTTGATTATCCAAAAATGTTTTATTCTCATTGCTATTTATGGCAGCTGGCAACTGCTGCAGAAACCATGGTCTGGGTATTCATTGCTTTTCTTCCTGTGTGGTTAGAGTGTCTGAAATAGTCATACATTAGATTTGAAATGTAACTGAGGACTGAACGCGACAGGTTTTAGATGTACCGGACTTCCCTTTCTGAGTTTCTCTCTCAGTCAACCTCCTCTCATATAAA